AAGAAAAATTTTTCCTATTTGATTAAATGGTCTTTTGAAAAATCTCATTGTAAATTTATTTGCTGTAACTCGTTTAAATATAAATAAGAAAATGTGGTATGAGTGCCAATGAGACAACTATCTATCCAAGTCACAATGTGTAAAAAGTAAACAATTATAGATCAAAGTACGGCCTGCAACACGGTGCCTTGGCTCACACCGAACATCAAGCTATAAAGAGCCCCAAAAAGACTTGTGTAAAACAATTCAAACAGGAAAACCAATGGTCTAATCTATATAAAAAACAAGAAACGAGAAACACTTATGAACCACACCAACAAACGACAACCACTGAACAACAGGTTCCTGACTTAGGACAGGTGCATAAAAATGAAGCGCGTTTAAACGATTCAACATTCACCCTAACCTGAAACAGTGGTATAACATTACAACATAAAAAGACACACACTAAAATATCAATTTAAATGGCATAACTCGATCAAAAAGACAATACACAAAAACAAGTAAATATACACTGAACGAATAAGTTTGATCTAACACAATATAAATAAAAAAGATGTTTCAATGTCAAAAAGACAACTTTAAACTAGGACAAAAGGGCGTTAAATAAAGTAACGTACACAGGTAAATTTAAATATAATAATTCTGTTGTTAGGAGTACTGAAACATTTGTTACAAAACATATTTGTTATTCATAGTACGAGTACAGAAGTGAACTTTTATTTCACGCCTTCTGTAACGAAAAAGGAAAGTATGCTAGATACACTTGCTGGAAATGTGAAGATATGATTGAAGCTTTAAATTTTCTCCTGGACAACATATATATATGTTTCGGCGATAAAGTGTATCGACAGGTAGTAGGTAATCCTATGGGCACTAATTACGCCCCTTTAATAGCAGATATAACCCTGTAGTGCTATGAATCACAGTTGATGGCCAAACTCAGTAAAGACACGTCATTGTTACATTTGGTTGAAACATTCAACAATACCTACCGTTATCTTGATGATATTTTTTCGTTAAATAATCCAGAGTTTTCTAAATATACTACCAAACTTTACCCAAAGGAACTTACTTTAAATAAATCAAACATAAACAGCAGTAGTTGTCCTTTTCTAGATATAGACATTTCAATTTCTAAAGAGAAACTCCATGCTAAAATTTACGATAAAATAGACGATTTTTTATTCCCTATTGTTAATTTTCCTTTTTTAGACGGCAATGTTCCTTTGACTCCATCATATGAATTTTATATATCCCAACTCGTTCGTTATGCCCATGTGTGTAGTGATGTCATAGATATTTTAACGAACGTAATCAATGCATCACTGGTAAATTATTAAGTCAGGGATTTCGTTACCGTAAATTACTTAAAACATTTACTTAATACTTCCTTAGATACAAAGATTTGATTAGTAAATTTGGCTGTACCTGTAGACAACTTATTATAAACGGTATTTCACATCCTAAATTTTACGGTAATATTGTACTAAAAGCGCGGAAATCACTATGTGATCCGTGTAAACTCATCGAACCTTTAAACAAACTTATTAGTAAAGGTTATCTTATTAATGTTGTAATAAGATCTTTGAATATTGTTTACATTGGCACTAACATCGATTTTGTCATCAACAAATTCAAACATAACTAAATTTGTATTCTTTTCGAATGGTTTTTGGGATGTATAAATACACATCCACGTTTATTTTCTATTTAGAGATTGCTTTATCTATATATAACATGATACATATTTATTATAAGGTTAATTCCTAACTATCCTACTACCTGTCGATACTTTTATTTTGGCATTGCACAAGTCATGTCTTATTTGACTGTTCATGGCGTTAAAACACTAAATCCTTAATTGATTTTAGTCTCTGATGCATGATTTTTATTATTAATTGTTTTTGGCTTTTAATTAGCTTTCAGTAACTGCGAGTACTCTCAAATCGTACTTTTGTGTTAATTTGACCTGTTGACACAATTTGTAATGCATTTCTGTAATTCAATGTTTACCTTTTTGTGTTATATCTCGTCTCACTATTTATAATATGTACCACCTTTACTAAGTATTTAGTATGACGATAAATTTTCACTTCTGTACTCGTACTGTGAACAAAAATTTATTAATTTTGTAAAGAAATGTTTCCGTACTCCTAACAACAAAATTGTTATATTTAAATTTACCTGTCTACGTATTTTATTTAACGCCATTTTGTCCCAGGTTAGAGTTGTCTTTTTGACACTGTTGCTACATCTTTTTTTTTTTTTATTAATATTGTATTTATATTGTGTCATATATAAAACTTATTCGTTCAGTGTATGTTTACTTGTTTTTGTTTATATGTCTTTTTGATCGTGTTTAGCCATTTCAATTGATATCTGAGGTTAGGGTATATGTTGACGCCTGTTAAAACATTTAAACGCGCTGCATTTTTATGCACCTGTCCTAAGTCAGGAGCCTTTTGTTCAGTGGTTGTCGTTTGTTGGTGTGGTTCATAAGTGTTTCTCGTTTCTTATATAGATTAGACCGTTGGTTTTTCCCGTTTGAATTGTTTTACCCTAGTCATTGTGGGGCCTTTTATAGCTTGCTGTTCGGTGTGAGCCCAGGCTCCGTGTTGAAGGCCGTACTTTGACCTATATTTGTTTACTTTTTATACATTGTGACTTGGATGGAGAGTTGTCTTAGTGGCACTCATACCACATTTTCTTATTTATATTGGCTCATCCGATTGGTACGCAGCAAAAAAAAAAAAAACGAGAAAAAAATAAAAGGCACAAATTACTGTTTTAAGACAACGCGTAGTAAATGAAAGGAAGTTCAAAGCCAATTCAACTTATGAGTGAATATAAAGCTTTCCAGGCTAAAAAAATCGGTACACATCAAACGGATTTAGTGTAAAAACGTCGTCAAAAGCATTCTAAGGGAAACGTAATCTTGTTCAATGCCTAAATATAAGTTTTGACAGGATGTAGGACTAAAGGTGAACATAACTGTAGTACGATACATTTTGTGTTGTGTTTCGATTAACTTAAAACATAGTCAATTAACAGATTAAGAAATTATTCAAAATTCTTACTATCGTTAAATTGATTACCTTTCAGAATGAGTTGATGCAAAGGATAATTAAGATTGCATGGCTCGTATCTAAGTTTACTGGCTCTATAAACAACCTGATCCTAAATACCATTTGTAGTAAGGTTTCTTTAGGTACAGCCAAAACTTACAAACCAAAGATTTCAATCTATGAAAGAACTTAATAAAAGTTCTAAGTAATATGAGATGAAGCCATCCATGAACTTCAGGTTACTGAAGGATACAGATGATAAATATGCAAGAAAGTTAGTAAAGCGCGAGCCAGATGAATGAAACTTGACACTTTATCTTATTTGATCAAAGCTGTACGGTCATGTATTAGTACATATTTTTGTTTAGGGGCCAGCTGAAGCACGCCTCCGGGTGCGGGATTTTCTCGCTGTATTGAAGACCCATTGGTGGCCTTCTGCCCTTTGGTCGGGTTGTTGTCTCTTTGACACATTCGCCATTTCCATTCTCAATTTCATTCGGAAGTGCAATCAAAATCCCCGACGTACAATGAACACACGGGGTTTTCACCAATTCAAGAAACCGATGATGTGGATGCTTTATTTTGTCTCCATGACAGACATGGTGTTGCTACAGCAGGCAAAGCATCTAACAATATTGTTTTACATGCACAAATCATTATTTTGAATTGACTCATTCATTTCCCATACATAAAAAGAGCAAAGTATGATAGCGTTTTTTCACCTTAGAAACAGTGCTATATCTGATAATGTTCTCATACAATCTAATGAAACAACTAATACAATTTTACGCATTGATATGAAAATGGAATAATATGGCGACATATAAAATCCATTTACGTATCGTTTTTATTAGAATAAAATGATTGTTTTCTTTCATTTCAATGTTTCACTTGTCGTAGCCACAATCCTGTTCTCTTCGTGCAAGTAATCACAGTTTCTTTACTTGCAAAGAGTTATACAACGGTTGCCACTATTAGAGCTGGAAGTCCTTTACCTACCGAAACACGGCAGTTCACTCCAGGTTTTTGGTGGTTTTGTGTTGCTCGCTTTCGGTATTGTTATACACAATGTATTATGTTACTATTCAATCATAAGGAGGTAAACAACTTATTTCAGGGAGATTCAGTCTTCTCCATATGCAAAGATAATTCAGGAAACTAGAAGGGACATGTTTTAAATAAGTTGACAAATAATTATAAACTGTTATCAAAACCTATGAATGATACTAAAACTAAGTGTGATAAGTGTGATTTGTTTCTACGATTAATATACCCGATATCTTGCTGTATATGATCTAAACCATTTTATAGGATACACGTTATTCTGCTTTCTCTTTTTTTTGCCAGTTTTTTTTTTAAATACTAGTACATTGCATGCTAGTTAGCTGAGCTACTAAAAGCCATATGCAACATTTCAAAACAATTTTATTTTACATCTTATAAAATTGTATATTGCGGTAAAAAACTATAAAATAAAAACATAATGAAAATACTTTTATTGTAATACAAAAAATTACTAAGCATAAGGACAGCGGCAATCATGAAATCTCTATAATTATAGTACTTTGCCTTAGTTAACGATGTCTTTTAAAATATGATCAGCTATTGTAACTATGATATTAACACATAACTAGATTTATGAATAAAGGGACATTTTTCAATTAAAAAAAAGACATCTTGATGTCTACAATAAAAATAAACGTTTCTTTGCAATATGTTAAAGCTCGAAATAACCTCGCGTGATTTGTTTAATCGGTTTTCATGTTGAAAAGAACCATAAGTTTTGCAGCACTGTTGAAATCAACTTTTTAATTTGACATGTGATCGATTTCGTGTCATTGTTCAAAGGTTGTATTTGAATGATATATAAAATAATACTCGAAATAAAACACGGAAACATACAAATTAGTACTTATAATTTCCGGTCATACAGGGAAAAGTTTTATCCCGTGACTTTTAATACTTATATTTTTTGCTTTGAAAATGGATCTTGTGTTGTTCTATCTGCTTGTATCACTTTTTGGGTCACAGCTTTCCAATGCAAAAGGTATGATTTATAATTTTATGTATTACTTTAACTTTCAGAGAGTCATAATCGTAATAAATTATTAGTAATTCAGAAGAATTTCGTATATCAAATAGATATATGGCAGTATACCGATGTTCATATCAAAAGTCCAGTAATAAAACAGACACACTTAGGAGTGAAAACGAACGAAAGGAATGACATGACTTCTTTTCAAAATGAAAGCAAATGTGTCGAAAAAGTAAACATCTCTTGTTACGCATAAAATGTCCATCAGAAGACTCAAAAATCACATCCATTGATAAGTATCAAAGCAAGAAACATAACGAAACTAGTGATTTTGTCTTATTAACATAATGGCTATTTGACATAAATATTACAGATATTAAGTGTCACAAATAAGTTTAGAAAATCGACACCTTACAAAAAAGAAATCCTAAACAAGCAAGGTCGATTGTATGTCATTACATAACAAACAAGATCGTCCTTCACTCAATTGTATAAGTGTATAAGTGTCCTTACAAATAACATAATATTGGTCGGTCTGCAAAATGCTTCTCGGAACTTCTTTTTAAATTGTTTATATCAATTTAATCGGCAATCAAACCCGGGTTTCAGAGTACCTTTGAAACTACATTATGTAATGGTTATGTGTATTTCATGCCAAAAAATTCAGATGATATGTTACAATATGCAATAGTATAACAACATTTGACTTCTCTACTCTTTTCACTATTGTCCTTCATATTTACCTTAAAGAAGAATAAGTTCAACTTTGTTTAAAAAAAGAATGGCAAACGCAGATACGAGTATTTTGTTTTAGAAAGGGACAAATCATTGTTTATTGACACAATTTATATTTGATACGTTTGGTGGACCTGTTTTTCAACAGGTCACTCGATATTCCTATGTGCCAGCTATATCCCTCTTTTTCTGTTATTCTTATTAGACAGAATTCATACAGGACCTTTTAAAGTAAATTAAAAGAAGCTAGTACTAGCCTTTAGCTTTACTTTCTGTTCTATAGGAGATGTCCTTTCATTGCATAATTAAAAGTTTGGTAACTATATTGACTGCATATATCCAAATGAACTTGAAATAACTCTAGATACATATGCGTCTGATTCATATCTTGACTTACATCTAGAAATTGACAATGAAGGTCGGTTGAGCACTAATCTTTACGTCAAAAGGGATAATTTCAGATTTCCATTTGTGGACTTTCTATTTCTATGGAGCAACATTCCAGCAGCGCTTGCATATGAAGTACATATCTCCCACTTGAAATGATATTGCATTTCCTATCATAATTTCCTTGCTAGAGGGTTGCTGCTTACAAACAAGCCATTGAAGTGGTAAACATGAAGTCATACCATCGAAAGTTGTACGGATGCCATCACGATTTGGCTCACCGTATTATAAGACGGATGACCATGGCTGAGTTCCAATTGTCGTAACCACTATCCTGTCCTCTTTTCCTCGATTGTGATATCACCGATTCAGACTTATAAACAGTACTTACCATGGTAATCATGATTGGTGCCATTGTTGGTTTAGGATCTGGTTACACTTCCGGAGCAGCTGAGAACTTTTCCAAGTTTTTGATCGGGTTCATTTTTAAGTTTAAATGTATTGCTTTGTAGATTTGTTTGTCTTTTCTTCGTTTTTCTTAACTATCCAAGTTGACTGTCCAACGCAAGCTAAACTGAATAATTACATACGGTTGCCGCCTCCCAAATATGTGTAGTGCAGTGGCATGTTGTTTGCTCTACCAAGCATCAATTCATGCATTGTTATCTATTATTCTGTTGAGGTATGATTAACAACAGTTGCTGCAAAAATTATTTGTTTGGAAAGTGTTTTGCGCCTCCTTTATTGCCTTAGTCCTGACGCATGACATTCATTTAAAGATAGATTGGTTGTATGCAGACTATATCGACCTTCCTGTTTGTTGGCATGTTCAGGTTCATGCCCGGCATCTACGTGTATCTGATATTTGTTGACTGATACATATTCCTGTTTAAAGTTGAACCAATGATCATTCTTTATTTGACTGATATCCTTGACAAATGTAGAGTGTTCTGTGAAAATTAGAAATGTAATATCATGTCGACATTAGTACAATAACGCTCTGATTATCCTAATTCTTGAGGTGCGTCGAACATTTCTTGGGTGTCTTCATGACCATTAAGCCAATGTTCAAAGAGAGGGTTCAAAGCGGCCTTAAGTACACCTTTTGTTCGACCTGTGCGTCAGACCACCTATTACAATTGAGTCTACCTACCTTTGATCGCTTGCACTAGTGAGCCTACCTACCTTTGATCGCTTGAACTAGTAAACCCGTTTTGATCTGAAATAGTCATTTTGACCTAAACAGTTCTTAAAAGACAGAACAATAAATTTTTAAGTCATTTTCAGTCTTACAGTAAATTTTTGGGACTTATCCACTGTAGATTCAGTACTATTGCAGTGAATCCAGATCTGTTCAGTTTATGTTCACACTGTTTACATGTACACATAAATATCATACTGTATAATCTGATCAGCTATTCAACAGTAATAAACTGACTGTAAGGGAATTGTCTGAACAGAACTGAATTTACCGCAGTTGATAAGTCTGAATCGTGTTTGTTTTTGGTTTGGCATTGCTGTTGAAGAGTTATATGTATCCCTGTCTTTGGACTGTCCAGCGTTGTTATTCACTTTAGTAGATCCAACTATTCATGATATAATCTCCGATACTTTGTATTGAACTATATCATGTTTTCTTATGCTGTAAGCAACCTCGGGGGTTTTAATTGGAGGCATGAAACATCCACAGAAACTCGAATCATGTTTTTGAATTGTCTAGCTATTAACAGAACAAGTTATATATTTCTGTTTACTTTTCACACCTTTTTCATTTCGTTACCATGTAGACCATATTTTGAGTTAGACCTCGTTGAGGTTTTTTTTTATAACTTTGACATAATTTGTCTCAAAATACGTTCACTGCACTTTTAAAATCTAATTGAGAAAACGCAGGTGGTATTTCATTAATTACCATTTATTGTTCTAAAGAAATGCACTACGTAATAGCTGTGTTTTCAGGCCAGCAACATCAGTAGTTTTCCCGACGTTCAGATCTCTAATTCAATTAGAATATCCAACTCCAGATTTGTAACAAATTCTGAACTAATTGCATTAACACCAAACAGACCGTTACCGGGTGAGCGTCTGCTTCAATGCATGCATCCCCTGTCATGCGATTTCACACTCAGTAACACTGTAACTATAGAAAATAGAACACAATCGATAACTTTACAGATCAGACGACTATGGAATCTAAAGGTGTAAGACTGTCACCACATGTCGCTTGTGAGATGACACACATTGCATAGCGTAACTAAGTGGTGATGGAGACTATAAAACTTATCCCAGATTTTTTAGGGGTTCGTGTTGCTCAGTCTTGAGTTTTCTATGTAGCGATTTGAGCATTTGTTTTTCTTTTTGTAGTTTTTTCTTGGCGTCGTCAGTTTCTGTTCGACCTATGAGTTTTGAATGTCCTATTGATACCTTCTGCTTCTTTTTATGTAGTGTCGATTTCAGCTTCAATTGTGTCACATGAATGCTTTTCTTATCCTATGTCTTTGAAGAGATCAGTTATGAGAAAGTCAAAACGATATTCTTTAGGTTGCAATTCTCTCATTGTGATGAGAGTAAAAATAACTTGTGAATAAATCTAACAGAGACTATCAATGACCTGTAATAAACTCCAAATTCTTTACAAGACTAAACTCATTAAGATATAAGTGGGCACCCGCAAACATGTTTAACTCCGCCACATTCTATATGTGCCTGTCCCAAGTAAGGAACCTTATATTCAATGAACGTCATTTGTTGCTGTATATCATATTTGTTTTTCGTTTGTTGTTTTCCACATAAGTTAGACCGTTAGTTTTCTCATTTGAATTATTCTACATTTTGCTATGTCGGGACCTTTTGTAGCTTTCCATGCGGTATGGGTTTTGCTCTTGTTGAAGGCCAAAATACTGACCTATCTTTACTAACATCTACGTCATTTGGTATCTGGTGGTTAGTTGTCTCATTGGCAATCATACCACATCTCTTTATTTTATATCAATTAATGATATTGTTTCTGTCTTTGGAAAGGTCCATGCTCATACGTTAAAAAGGTATCTTAGAATAAACGTTATTACTTAAAGCAAGCTAGAATCTTCATGAGGTATTATACTGTAATATCGGCAGGTGTACCTTAAACAAGATTTTATACAACAACGGCATTTCAGTATAGGAAGACGTAACTCATGCAATGCACAGAGGAAAGTTGTACAGAATTTCAAAGCAGACAAAAATAAAAGTAACATTTTAGCTTTGTTTCACACTATATGTCAACGAATTGATGATTTTCTCCCACAAACGTAAAAAGAGACACACAAATTCAACAACAACATGATAGCAAGCAGGCGTGGGGTAATGCTAATTTGTAATTGTAATGCCCTATAATGCATAACATTACAAACGGTAACAGAAATAAGTTGAAAGATTGATAATTGACACCTGTCAAAAATGGTATCCAGTCATTTCGTATCATAACCATTTCGTACCATTGACATTTCGTACCCAAACTGACCATTTTGTACCATAAATTTGCCGTTTCGTACCATGAACATAAACCATTTCGTACCACAAGAAACCATTTCGTACCATATTGAAAAAAAGATTTATCATTACGTACCATATGGAAAAAATGCTTTACCATTTCGTACCATATGGAAAAATGCTTTACCATTTCGTACCATATGAAAATTGAACTTTGCCATATCATACTTGGTACATGAAAAATATACTCATCTACAATCAAGAAATGTTCTGTACGCACATTCTATCAAATGATAGGCAATTAAACATAGAAAAACTTACCTTCAGTACTGAACCAAGAATACTTATAAAAATAGCATACAATGGTACGAAATGGTAAACATTATAATCTTCCATATGGTACGAAATGGTATACATTATAACCTCCCATATGATACGAAATGGTAAACATTATAATCTTCCATATGGTACGAAATGGTATACATTATAATCTTCCATGTGGTACGAAATGGTAAACATTATAATCTTCCATATGGTACGAAATGGTAAGGTACATTATAATCTTCCATATATTACGAAATGGTTTTTGTTATGGTACGAAATTGGTGGTTCGAAATGATTATGGTACGAAATGACTATGAAATGGCTATGATTCTTAAAAACCACTAATTAGTTTGTATAGCAATCAATTCATTTCTTTTGACGAGTGAATTTATGATTTTAAAGTACATGTAATTAAATAACATTGAGATTTAGTTAACAATATAATCAAAAACATAATGGTAGAATAAATTCCTTACAACATTTCTGTTATTTCTTTTTTGAGAAAACACAGAGATGTATACTTCGAAATATAAAAAGATTGACCCAGAAGAACAATCAACCTTGGCAAATTTTGTAAAACCATCTGGTATTCAGAAATATCAATTAAATGACCCAAAGCAATGCTACAGTTTCAATTTTGGAGTATATTGCTAGAAGTGATTTACTCCCATTTTAAACAGTCAAAAGGCCCAATTGTATGATAACCTTCAGGAAGCTGATCACATTTCTTTAATTGTTGACATTTGGTCTAATAGAGCAATGATAAGGATTCTTAAATTACATATTTCATAGTTACCAAGATTTCAGTATAAAATGTTGTATATATGTTTCTTTTGATAATAAAATTTATAAAATGTAATGTGTAATATAATGCATTACTTTGGTAAAGTCATTGTTTTGTAATGCATTACTTTCCAAAATACATGTAATTGTAATTTTAATATAAAGCTGGTTTTATCTAAGTTATTGTAATGTAATGCATTACATTGCAATGTAATTCGCTCCATGTCTGATAGCAAGTGTCATGTAGAAGTCAGTATCTTCAGCCAAAAAGAGAGATTTAAAGATCAATACCTGAACCTGTTCGACTGATATATATTGCAACAGTTTTGCCCTTTAATGATACATATGCTTGTTGTTTTACTGATGAAAATGCTACTTTCAATATGAATTAAGAAGTAAAATAACAAAAATACCGAACTCCAAGGAAAATTCCAATCGGAAAGTCCCTTATCAAATGGCAAAATCAAAAGCTCAAAATAATTAAACGAATGGAAAACAGCTGTCATATTCCTGACTTGGTATAGGAATTTCCTTATGTAGAAAATGGTGGATTAAACCTAAACCTCTCACTTGTATGACAGTCACATAAAATTCCAGTAAGGATAACACTGAAAAAAACAAATATTGAATGTTATCCACTTATTAAATGCATTGATATGTCCTCATCATGTCTATTTAAAAGAGAAGCGAAAGATACTAAAGGGACATTCAAACTCATAAGTCGAAAATAAACTGACAACGTCATGACTAAAAAAGAAAAAGACAAACAAAGTAAATATGAATTTCTAATGACCTAATTTCGAATGTGTTTCTTTCACCAAAACAGTCAGTATCAAAAGTAAAATGATCAATTATAGCACATCTTATTTTTATATTGATACCTACGAAATTTTATCGCATTGCGACATGATATAAAAAGTATAAAAAACTCCTTTAACCTGTTGACCTATTCCTTTGATATATTTAGTGTAAACGATAACAATCTATGAAGCTATTTCATTGGGTTTTGATCACATTATTACTGTTTACTGGGACATTATCTTGTGATCTTATAATCGATACCGTTCTTCTAGAAAAACTGTCGAACATTGAAGAGTTTTATATAGAAGGGGATGTAATATTTTTACCAGTTGAATATGAACGCCACTTTCTGGCCTATACATTTCTTTATAGAGAAATATATTTTTCGATGAACAACATGGCAGTGCCAAAAGAAAACTACCGATCTATAAAAGCCTATTACAAACTAGTAAATCGAAAGCCCCTCTTTGTAGAATCGAACCTCTATCGTAGATCTCAGTTGAAAATTTAGACATTACGTTGGAAAATTTTGGACAGATACACTGCTTTCAAGAGTAAAATCTTGTTATGATGATTAGACGGAAATGTCTGTGTTTTTTTGGACCAAAATATGTAAAAATGTATCGTTATACTTGTAGTATATTCTGAAGATGATTTCTACATCACCAACTCTACTAATACCTATAATACTATTCCGACCGACTGCAACTTGTTTGGTAACAATTTTGACGAGGATTATCCAGTACAGAAGCTGATAATTAACATCACAGCGAATGGCACTTACTGGATTGGTGCCAAAATAGGTTTCAAACGAAATATAAATCCTGTAGGTATGTATATCTATAATCAGTTCTTTAAAATAGTTTGCTTTTGTAAACAAAGATGAGATTGTTTTCAAATACTTTTTTTTAAGTATTGGATTAGATTTCGCAGGACATGGCTGTACATGACATTCGAATAACCTTCATCTTTAATACTTCAATTTTCAATAGCATGTAATGAACGAGACTGCAGGAAGAAGTACATGATCAGTACAAGCTTTTAATAGTTATTGTAACTGAACTCCCTTCCTTTGTTTAAATTACAACTATTGTGTCGTTGCCGATTATGATAGACTTTCAGTCCCATAAGGTGTCACATCACCAATTCAAGATTCCTACACATTCAACAAAATCTTTAGATTTTCACAGTAATCTAGATACTTTATCTTTTTTAGATTAAATTAATGAAAACCATGATTATTCTGAATTATCAATGTATCATCCTTCTACACGACAATTTTCAACAAATGTTTAAAATCTTGAAGTGACACAGTACATGATCTTTCGGAAGTCACTACCAATAAAAATTGCCCTCGGTTTTTCTAATTATCATAATCAGTTTACTATTTGGCACACCCATTAATTGTAATGTAAGTTCATGCCTAAGTAAATTTTGACTTAAAATTATCATAATATATTTCTCATTTGGCAAAACTTACATTCACGTTAATTAATTTTCGAGTTTAAGAAACATACAACTTCAAAAGTACTATGTTTCGTCAGAGTAGGGCTACTTTTACATATGTTCTAAAAGTGATTGATTGAAGTTGTGGTGTGACACATAAAGGTACAACCCGCTTCAGCACCACCACTAGAATATTTCGTATGACACATTTTATTGGAAATGCTCAGTGAGAAAAGTTTATTATACTAAAACTTATAATGCAACGCTGTTTAACAACTGTGACGTCAAAAGATAATTTTTGTTCTGTTTCAGTCTTTTACGTTTTAATTCCCATGTTTTACCCAATTTGGCTTTTTTCTCGATCGTACTAAAATAAGATTCAGAAACAGTTGTCATATTCACACTGAAATCAGCTTCTAACGTTTACACTACGATAATATTATTCAGTATCAAATTTTCCTCTACTTTCGTCATTCCTCACACCTAATTTTTACTAGTTGTGTGTTTGTTCACTTATATGTTCTAACTGGTCAAATATTTGGTTATACTTGAAATGCAAGTTTTCTCAAAAAAATATATGTATAGTTTTAATTTCATCGTTCCGCACTGTTGTATGAATGTTTGTTATAATAATCTGAAAATGGCTGTATTTACCAGAGTGTTTAATACAGAAGAGATAATAGTACTAGACTTGGCATGTCTTCAAAGTAAACACAAAAGGGTATATGTCTCTAGGCGTAAAGATGAACTTAGCTTTACTATGATTTAAGTCCTCATCCAGAAAATGATTCTATAGAATAATCATATGGTAAATTCAAAGCCTGATATCTTAAAAGAACTTTAATCATTGAAATGTAACACTTTCTCTATTATTGAAGGAATTCAACGGGGATGCAATGCAAACTACAATGAAAGTTTAGATGAATGTAATAGACATTGCAAAGGTCGGAAATATTTAGCTACAATGTGAGTATTGTTCCTATATAAAATATCGTCTGTATAATTATAAGAAGTAAAAAACGGACAGTCAAGTCATCATTGATTTATCGGAAGCGTATTGGCGATTCAGTTAAACTTTTAAAATCCAAATTTTAACTTTTCAAAACTTTTAAAATATTTTAGTAGCAATATACCAACTGCATCTGCATATGGGATATACATTTCCCAACTCATTCGGTATTAAAGAAAAGAGCTTGCAGCTGCTACTCAGACATTATAAAACGTCACCAGCGTCTGAGCAGAAATTTAATGAACCAGGGTTATGTCAAAGAACGTCTCGTCCTTTTTATAAAAAAAGTTCATCGGAAGATACCAAGACCTTGTATATAAATATTCCGTATCAACTTCACAAATAATATATGATGGTCTTGAAGTATAGATCCTAGGTACTTACTGTGTTTATTATCCTAATTACGTGTTATAGGGTTCTTTTATTTGTCTTTGTAAATTATTTACCTTTACTGTTTAGTCCATTTTTTTTGGTAATATCCTTTTGGCGTGGATCGGTATTTATACATCCCGCAATTGTGTTATTGTGCTATATAGATATAAGAAGATGTGGTATGAGTGCCAATGAGACAACTCTCAATCCAAGTCAAAATTTATAAAAGTAAACCATTATAGGTCAAAGTACGTTCTTCAACACGGAGCCTTGGCTCACACCGAACAGCAAGCTATAAAGGGCCCCAAAAATCACTAGTTTAAAACCATTCAAACGGGAAAACCAACGGTCTAATCTATATAAAAAACGAGAAACGAGAAACACTTATAAACCACATCAACAAACGACAACTACTGATCATCAGATTCCTGACTTAGGACAGGTGCAAACAATTGCAGCGGGTTTAAACGTTTTAATGGTACCAAACCTTCACCTTATCTGAAACAATAGTGTAACATCACAACATAGAAAGACACACTATAAAATATCAATTGAAATGGCTTAACTCAATCAAAAGACATATCAACACCAGTGAACATACACTGAACAAATAAATTTGATCTATGATACAATGTAAATACAAAATACATAAACTAAGGGAAGAATAATTAAAGTAACATGTTATACCGCTGTGAAATGTTAAACAATTTAAGAAAAACAATATGCTTGAACAAAAATATCAGCCATTTGCAATTACTTTAATCAGCGGTAAATGAAAATAATTTTGTTGTTAGGTATACGTGTACAGTTCAAATGGAGAAAGGAAACATTTTTACAAAATAAATAATTTTGATGTTTATAGTACACGAAGAAATGAAAATTGATAGTCATACCAAACACTTATCAAAGCTGCTATATAGACCAGATATAACCCTGAAAAAGAAAAACATTAAATAACAAAAAAAGCATTACAATTGGTATCAACAGGTCAAATAAACAAGAAAGTACGATTTGAGAGTACTCGCAGTTACTGACAGCTAGTTAAAAGCCAAAAACAATTGATAATAAACAATCATGCATCAGAGACTATGGTCTTTTTTTTGTTTTCTTGTCTTTCATTTTTGCTTGACTGTGTTCTTTATCTATATGCCATTTTGTTTTTCTCTGTTGAAATGTTTGTTTGTTTTATAGTGATTAAGATTATAACACAATGTTGACTGCTGTACCCCTATTTTTGACATTTTTTCTATTATGTCTATTTGTTTTGTTCACACATTGTTGTCAATATAATGGAATTTAATGCGACTGTCATACAAGTGAGAGGTTTATCTAGCTATAAAACCAGGTTAAATCTACCATTTTCTACATAAGGAAATACCTGTACAAAGTCAGGAATATGACAGTTGTTTTTGATGTGTTTGAGCTTTTGATTTTGCCATTTGATATGGGACTTTCCGTTTTGAATTTTCCTAGGAGTTCGGTACTTTTGTTATTTTATTTTTTATGACATTTGTGATTCCTAAAAAATGAATTCCGCCTCTTTAGTATTGTTTTTTTTTACAAAGGGAGGAATTTATTAAGTAGGATAGAATACATTTATGATCAAATTGACGGTACAGGGACTAGGTAAATGCACGAACCGTTTGTAATCCGCCTTCCATAAGCTTTGTGTAGGCAGGTTAACAGTTTTTCCTTCAACGGAGTTTATTAATAGAGTCGATAATTTGAAAACTTTATTTTTTTTCAGAGAAAATAAATATGCCAAAAACATGGTATTTTTATTTGATCTTTTTGTACATGAATGTTAGTGCTTTCAGAAAGGCATCACCTGAACAGATATAATTTCTACATATGGCAAAGTTTGGATGTCATTCAAATGATTTCTGACATTTTCATGCTCCTGTTTGAAAAATTTAATGTATTGCCATGGATACACACAACAAAATTAAAGCTATATTTCACAAAAATATCTATTGAAAATCAAATCTCCAAATTATCTAAATTATATACAGGTGTCTTTGTTTGATGCATCTCAAGTTTTCGCACTTATAGAATAGCTTAATTTGTGTTAAAAAGAAAAGAACATGGTCAATGATCATGAGGGTCAATTTTAATTTTCTTTTCTAACTGTTGTTACGACCAAAAGACAAACACCAGTACACAAAACACAACATAGAAAACCAAAAACGAACCCCATCAAAAACCAGGTGTAATCACAGGTGCATGCTCCAAAAGGATAATCAGATTCTGCTCTAAATGTGGCACCCGTCGTACAACGTCGTACAACTCATGTAAGTACAAAACCGATGAGAAGACTAATTCGTTAAGTAAAATTCAATGAAAAGAGGACAGATTGTGGTAACAACTATTAGACATTTTCGAAAAGTCGTCTACACAGACACTTACACCGACACCGATACCTACACTGACTACAAAATATAGGGACCGTATCAAAATGTCGAAACATATTGAATGAATGACATCGTAAAACTTGGTTGCAGATATAAAAAAAAAAAATTTCTGTAATTTTTCTTATATGATTTTTTATTTGAAATCGGCGCTAGAAACACCGAAGGCATGGATTATTTTAAGTATGAATTTGTGATATTCCATCTGTTTTTTTTTTAATCATTCAAACGGAATACAGTATTGCGGTAGAATATACATTGGCGAATTGAATTGCTAGAAAGCATTCGGAACATAAATAAAGTATCTTGTTTCTTATGAAGCAAGCACATATTAAATCAATGTAAATCAACGGGTCTTAGGATTTGTAATGGATGTTTCGGTGACTCAAGTATAAAATAAAAATGGTTGAAGTGTAAAATTCTACCAAAAATAAAATGCCAAAAAGTAAAAAATAACTGCAAAAAATAAAAAACGAAATGCAAAAAGTAATAAAACAATTACAAAATTACAAAATAACTAAACTGTGCCAAAATGAAAAAAAATTGTTTTGCCGAAATTCCCCAAAACAAAACACAAAAAATTTTACCCCCCACC